TTGAAGGTAAGGTAAGAATTAGAAATTATCACATAAAACTGTGGAAGCAAGATGGGTATAAACATATTCTCATGAGAAATTTAAGTTTTCCTTAAAATAGGTAAGAATTGGTGGAAAAATAAGAAACAGATAATAAAAGAAGTATTTTCTTCTATCACAGGGCCATAAAAGAAGAGTTTTGATCCATACCTGGGGTCGTGGGAGATTGCAATTCATTTCAGAGACAAAGGGGGACACAGGCAAATCAAATGGGGGGACAACATATGGATGGTTTATTTGGGCCCTTGGGCCTTCCATAACACATCTAGAAATAAAACCACCTTTTAAAAGTTTCTCTGCTCCCAAGAGAGTTGCTCTGCCCTTCAGTGGCAGAGGAAGATGACAGAAGGGCACAAGATGCGCACACTGTGCTATGACTGGCAGAACTCACATCCCAAAGAAAAGGCATCTTTCTGATGACTAATTCTGTCTACAAAAGCGAAGACGCAATGGAGAGTTGAGCAGACAGAAGGAAGATGACTACTCCCTAAGAGGAGGAAAGCATCAGGGACAGATCAGAGTGGCCAAGGGGACCCTGGTCAGCAGATATGAAATGGACATGAACAGAAATGGATGAAAAAAGACTGTCAGTTCTCACTAAGCTAGCTCAGCACAAGACATGAAGGCAAAAGAGGAACAGGAGAGCTCTGGTGCCAGTGTGCAGCCACTCAGCCCTCATGTGTCATTGTTCCCTGTAGTGGGCTGCAGCATGTAGGTATCACTTCCACAGGCCAAGTTAACAGAACATTCAGGAGGAAATGGTCAAAAATGCAAAAGTTCCTTCTTTCCCCTATCTCTCTAATGTAGAGGCTACTGTGCCAATAAGGGAAAAGCTACAGACAAAAGGAGTCTGAATCTCCTCTACAGAGAGCTTTGACTCTGTAGTCATGATTACTCATGAGATTAATCTCAAAGTCTGACTCCCTTATAAAACGTCATCTTTTCAGGTTCTAAAAACTATCAAATTCTAAAATATAACTGTTAATCTATGAATAACCACACTCTGGAGTCACTTTCAGTGTAAAAATACAAACTATAACTCAAGGGGTAACTAGACATAAGAAACAGAACACACAGAGAGAGAAGGAGAGACAGATAGACAGACAGACAAAGACTGAGACAGAGAGAGAAGAAAATTCAAACCCAGAATCTTTAAAAAGTTGAAGTTTTACTAAGAACAGAAAGCATGATAGATAAAATCAGGGAGGAAAAACAACCCTTAAAATTCAATTTAAAAATTCTAATATCCAAATGATTGGACTTTGAGAAAAATAGACAAACAATGAGTAAGAAAGTCATCTTTGAAATAATACCACTAGATAAAGTCTTCATCCAAACTGAAAACAGCATTTGTCTGAGATGCAGAGCTCAGAGCTCCCACAGACAGAATGAAGTGTCATCTGCTACAGTAAGACTTTCTGAACAATAAAGATAGAAAAGAAGATGTAAGGGGGACATAGGAGGGGGGTAGAGGCAACAGAAAGAACTGATGGCAGGTATCCCTGCTGTGAGGCAATCTCCTGCAAGATAAGACCTCCATCCTGGAAGGAAGCTTCCTCCTGTGGGGAATTCTTTAAATCCAGAAAGTAAACAACTGATGAACTTCAGGAAGTCCCTGAAACTGATCAGATTTATCAGGTCTCTGCCTCTCCAAACATATATAAATGTAAGAACTGCTGAGAAACAAGCTGAGCTCCCCCAAAAAGGCAGTTCAGATAAGCTGCCTAGAAACACAGACCAGCTGAGCTACCTGGACAGGTTACTCTCCAACATGATGAGCTGCCTGCAGGCTGGACAATGTGCTCCAAGTTCCTAGCTTTGTGAGCTGTCACCTGTGCTTGGTGATACTGCTATCTCTGACTCATTCTGTTCCTGTAAGTACCCCTCACCCATATTCCTGTAAGTAACAACATTAACACTCCCTGATTTACCGCATTGCATTTTGTGGGTATCTTTATGATAGTCTGTCAGTTCCTCATCCAGGGTGAGTAGACAGATGATTGTTCACACCTACTCAGAAACAGTCTCACCAACAGTGAGGCCTAGAAGACAGCAAAACAAGCCTTCAATGTCTAATGAAGAACAGAATTCTATAACAAGACAAACAGCAACAGAGTAAAATAAGTGTTCAAATCTGCAAGATATATGTATTTTAAAATGATCTCTAGGTTTTCTTAATGTTTTAGAACTACCTGAGAATGTGATTCTCCAAAATAAAGGAAAACAAGGAAGAGGCCACTACAGAATTCCAAGTGAAGATAGACAGTGAAATGTTCAGGATAGATGCCCAGGGAGCAGCCATGTGGGCAGCCTAGAGAAGGTCCATCTAGACCAAGGCAGAAGAAGGGCTCCAGAAGAGAAACACAAGAGGTGAATGGGGCGAGGGGGCTGAAATAAAAGTACAATATATGAACTTAGAGTTCAGTTGAAAACTGAAGGTCTAATCAGAAGATGGAAAACCAGGGAAAGCAAATTAATAAACTTACTTATAAAATGAATTCCAATTTTTATGTCATTCCAAGGTACTACATTATACATTTATGCAAATGTTCCAAAATAAGAAACTCCAAATCTGAAATCTTTCTAGTCAGTCAGTGAGTCTCAATGTGTGATTACTCTAGTGCCAGCTAAGCATCCGTCAGCATCAGGTTCTTAACAGGTACACTGTTTGTGTGCCAGTTAATATTTGTCATGCAAATGACTATGAGAAACAAAACCATAAAAATGCCCCAGAGGGTATTAAAACAGATATTCCTATTTATAACCAGTACCCCAAAAATAGCAATGTTGGGTTAATTTTGGCTTAAAAAGCATTAGGAGAGAAACTATCCCTAAAACAGATGGAGGCAAAACACAAACTGCCATATCATCTAAAACTAAGGAGTCATGTGTTGGGTGACAAAGAGAGCAAACCCAGAGCAGGTACAGTCACAAGAGACCTGTGAAGCCACAGAAACCCTGCACACCGTAGTGTCCTTAACCTGCAGGCAATGACCACTGGAAAATACGTATTTCCGATGGTCTTAGGAACCCCTAATCATATTTTATTGCCACTGCTACTTCAAAACTGCAGTTTTACCACTGAGCAGGATGTCAGTCTTTAAGACCATGGGGAGTGTGCGTTTTCCGATATCATGACCCACATGTTGAGGGTCATGACTGCTGGCAGACAGCATGTCACCTTTTCCTCCAAGTTTTCTTGTAGTTTAAAAGTCAATATAGTGACTCTAAGAAGAAGAAACCAATGAGAAAAAACTGCTCAAATGATTATAAAATTCCCTGTATGGTAGTGTGGAAACAGTGCACGATGAGATGCTGACAGGTGGCAGAGCTGAGGACAGTCAAGTGGAAACAGAAGGGTGCGCACAAGTCTTAACATAAGAATGCCAAAGTCCTGGGGCTGCGGACACTTTAGAAAACGAACTATGGGGGGGGGGGAGAGAGAGAGAGAGAGAGAGAGATCAGAAAGTAGGGATACTTCTAAGTAGCATTTGTCTTTGAAGTACTTTAGGTAAAACTTTTTAAAAATTAAGTACCACTCTCCTTGAAAATGAAATAAAAAGTTATTTTTCCTTTATTACTGAGAATGTATAAATAATAAATTAAGCTACAGATGATTTAATTTCTGCAAAAAGAACATGCACACTCTGAAGTCCTGTCTGCATTCAAATCCCAACATGGCAACCGAAGAGCACTCAGGAAATCTTAGAAAAATTGCCTACTGTTATCTAAACCTCAGCTTCATGGAAAGACCCTGCTCACCTGCCTCCTAGAGGCACCGCAGGCCTAAGTGAGTTTCCCACCACAAACAGCCTATACACAGGGTATTAGATGGGTTTCTTCAAAATGAAAATAGTCTTCAGTAAAGATCAGATAGAATGGGAACCAATGTAGAGCAGATGTCACTGGGAAAATCCTTCCTACAGTAGTAAATTCTAGTAAGGCTTACATGATAAAGAACAATCCATTTCCACATGCCTTTTCTGTGTGGCAAGCATGAACTAGCCACTCTGCCATGGGTGGAACCTCTAGAGCTGTGAACAGAAACAAAGGTCTTTGCTGCAAACTTTGGTTTGTTGCAGTGATGGAAAGCTGACGCAAATGTCCTGTCCGGTTACAGAGCATCTAAGGTCTCAGCTTCAGTTACACAGAACCCTATCATGTAATCTTAGTCTATGGAGGAGGAGACAGGTGGATTCCCAGGGCTTGAAAGTCAGCTAGCCTAGCCCACTTGGGGAGTTCCAGGACAGCAAGAGACCTAGTCTCAAAATTTTGGCAGTGCCTAAGAAATGACACCCAACATTCTCCTCTAAGCTCCACACACATGCACTCACACTAGTGAAATCTAACATTTTCCTCTACGCTCCACACACATGCACTCACACTAGTGAAATCTAACATTTTCCTCTATGCTCCACACACATGCACTCACACTAGTGAAATCTAACATTTTCCTCTAAGCTCCACACACATGTACTCACACTAGTGAAATAGATAAACAGAGACTCATATTGTAATATGTTATGAATATAAAAGGGAAAGGCAACACAGATCTTCAAACACTGCCATGATTTCAGGTGCAGGAACACTGACAGTGAAGACAGGCAGACAGTAAATAGCTGTGCGGAGTACACTCCTGCTTTAACACTAGCAAAGCAAAGGCCATTCTTATCATTTGATCGTGATGCTTTCTAATATTTATGAAAATGATGCATATTACATATCTCATGTTTATGAATCCTAGCACTGACCACATATGCCCACTCTATTTAAGTCTCTAAAACTATCTGAAATGTGACTGCCATATCAACAGTAAGATCAGATAACTAAGAAATCCTATTATAACCATAAATAGACATTTTAGAAACACTATTAAAATTGAGCAATAAGCTATCAATAATTATTAGCTAAAAACTTTTTATTATGATATGCATTGTAAATATATATTAAAATATTCTTACCTTAAGTATGTGCCATAGATGAAGAATAATGCCATCATTAGTCCATTTAACATAAAAATTACAGCAACATAAAAGCAAGCAGGATCTCCCAATCCTTTAAAAATAAACAAAACATATGCTCTAGCCACAAATTATGTTATGAGTCTAGCAATTCACATTAAACTGTGCTTACTGTGAAACGCTTGCCAGATAAACGGTTTCCTTGGTTGCCATATGAAAACAGGACATGAACGCAGACTAGTGATGAGAACAGTATTACAGATACGCTGGTCTGAAAGCAGGGCTGTAAACCTGCTGAAACACCTTTTAAGGAGGTGCAGGGACTTGGGCTGGACCTGCAGTAGAGTAAGGCAAGAGCAACACCACTGCTTCTGGAAAGCCACCTCAGCAGCCACAGCAGACCAGCTGGAAGGAAGCTACCTTGGGAAGAGCATAGCAACTTTGTGGCAAGCACCTTGCTATAAAAAAAAGCTCAAAGTCTAGCCTGGCAGTGGTGGCTCACGCCTTTAATCCCAGCACCTAGGAGGCAGAGGTAGGCGAATCTCTGAGTGTTTGAAGCCAGCCTGATCTACAAAAACTAGTTCCAGGACAGGCTCTAAAGAAACCCTATCTTGAAAAAAAGAATACAAAGTCCATGGAAATGTGGCATGTAACACATCCTAGGTGACACTTGAACCACCCTGCTCAAGGCCAAAATGTGACGAAAGAAGCTTCGGGTTCAGTCCACTTCTTCCAGCCATGCGATAATCCTGTCACCATGGAAGCACAGCAGCCTGCCCAAATCTGTGGTCTGAAGAAGCCAGGCGTTACCATAACAGGGCTGTTATTTGCAGACACTGAGGTGAAAGTCTATCACGTCCCGACAGACAAGGGGCAGCATGACAAAGGAGCTCACCCTCGCAGCTTTCAATTGGACTGAGGCCTTCTCCTCGGGTAACTGTCCAGCATATCTTGGTTTGAATTCCAATCAAATCCATTATTTTGGTATAAATCCGGTACCAGCTGGCTAAGATTACCTTTTTAAAGAAAATAAATACGTCATAAGAAATAATTTTCATTACTAAAATGTGTTTTAGAGATTTTCATAATTGTCAAACTTTCTTTTCACGCCTCAGCTGTTTGACTCCCTCTATATCTAGACAGAGGAGGCTCGACCTCTCCCACACAGACATCACTACACAAGTCTTCAACTGGTGACGCACAGGGAAAAAAACTAAAATAAGAAATTTGCAAGATTTATATTTTTAGAAAAATATAAAATTCTACCCAAGGAACATAAAAGACGTGTGTGTGTGTGTCTGATTTTTCAAGATGTAAATCCACATCTCAAATTAGTTCATAAAGATAAAACAATCCTTCCAAAAGTCTCAACAGCTAAAATTGTCCTGGAAAAGTGAAAGAACGAATAGAGGAGAGCGTCCTACCGACTCTACAGGTCCATCATGGAAACGACCGAACAGGCTGACACTGGCAGAAGCTCAGCAAAATGGACCAATGTAAGAGTGGAGGTGGTGGACACCAGCTCATCTGCCTTCCAGGCAGCTGCACTCCCAGCTCCAGCAGCTCCCCAGATGGTTGGCAGCTGACAGCTGTCAACTCTAAGGAATTGCTCTGGGCTGAAGAAAGTAATGGACTCAAGGTCACACGAGCATCCCATAACAGGCTCATCAGCAGAAGTGATACCTGGGCCTTTGCCACAGGAAGCCTAACCATATAAAGCTATCCCAGCCCAGAGATCCCAGGAGGTTTACTGGAGCTTTTGATGGGACTCAATTGCAGCTCAACCCCTTTTTATATCTCCTTCTGCTCCAACCTGGCTGAGGTGGGAACCCAAGGGCACCCTCTGATACCTTGCTGTAAGGAAATCTCCAGTTCAAAGTCCACTTTCAGGACCTCAAATAAGGCTAACTGGCCATCAAATCCAGACAAAAATGATGGTGCTGTGGGACAATGGTCTGTACCCTGTCACTTGTATTGTTTTTAATAAAATGCTGATTGGCCAGTAGCCAGGCAGGAAGTAGAGGCGTGGCAATGAGAATTATGGGAAAAGGAAAGTTTCAGTCTACAGTCATGACCCAAATGCAGAGGACGCAAAATGTGGCTGCCTCGCCGAAAAAGGTGCCAAGTCACGTGGCTAACACAGATAATAATTATGGACTAATGTAAGTTATAAGAGTTAATAAGAAGACTGAGATACTAGGCCAATTAGTTTATAATTAATGTAGACCTCTGTGTGATTTCTTTGGGACCTAACGGCTGCGGGAACCTGGCAGGACAGAAAACTCAGTCAACATGATAGTCATCTATATGTACACTAAGTTTGTATATAAAAAGCTACTTGAAATCAGTGGAAAGAAGATGGGTCTCTCATCAGTGTTAAGTTACACAGAAGACCAGTGTGTAAAAAAATTCTTATTCTACAAACCCTCAACACAAATTACAAATAAGTTAAAAATATAAAAATAACTATAAAGAATAAATATTTTACATGCATGTTTAAAATTCATAAGTTAAAAGATTCATGGGCATAAAATGAAGCATAGAAAAGTATCTATAGCTAAAAAGAAAATATTTATTAGTTTGTCATAATAACATCTTATGTATAAAAAAGGATCTTTAAGAAACCCAATAGAAACAGAGACAAAGAGGCATGAATAGGAATTCTTTTGTAAAATAGAGATAAGTAGCTATATAGCACTGAAATGCATACATATGCATGAATGAATAAAATACATCAAGGAGTTATAATTTCCTTGTCTATCAAAATCAGCAAGGATCCAAATCAACATTTCCAAAACTGCTGTTGGCAGGAACTCGATCTGTATAACCTATGTGGAAGGCCTTTGGGCAATATGTCCCCCAAATCATTACAATACATATTCTGCTGAACTGAAGGGCTATATCCACAAATTCAGTTTTTTTTAACAAAAAAAAAAGAATAAATGTTTTGCTGGTGGTTTCTGTCAATTTGACACAAACCTAGACATATTTTGAAAGAAAGATTCTTAATTGAGAAAATACCTCCAAAAGACCAGCCCATCAGCAAGTCTTTGGGGCATTTTCTTGATATAATGATTGATGTGTAAGGGCCCAGCCCGTGTGGGTGGTGCCACACCTGGGCAGGTCATGAGAGCAAGCCAGTAAGCAGCATTCTTCCATGGTCTCCTACTTTGGCTCTCTCAATGGACTATGGCCATTAGATAACCACATAAATCCTTTCCTCCCTAAGTTTGTTTATCATAGCAGTAGAAGCTAACAAAGGAAGATGTGTATAATTAAGATTTAGATTCATGGACATTTGCTGCAGCTTTGCTTAGAATATTCAGAAGCTGAAAAGTTAAAATGTCCGTTAAAAACTGGGCTAAAGGAGACAATAGTAGATCATGCATACAGCCACTAAAACTGACGCAATGGAAGGGTCGTGGTAGAGAGGCTGGCTATGAATATCCCCCAAAGACAAAAGGAACACTTAAAATACTGCCCACACCCTGCAATCCCATTTTTGTAAAATCTACTTGTATATAGTCACAGAAAATACTCAAGAGCAGTACTTTGTGGGAAAACACTGAACTCTGGAGGGCAGTTATTGATTACTCAATAATCAATCAAGTCACTAACCCAGAAGTGACAGACATTCTCTCAGTAGGAAAAAAAAAAAAAAAAAGACCTGCAGACCCACTAAGAACAGCTGCTGAGCAAAGAGCTAGACAGACACGGCCCGGCCATCAGGTGCCCTGATGGGACCACATGTTAAGAAGGTAAAAGGAAAAAGTGGGCTTCGCAAGACATCTTGATTTCACAAACCAAGTTGTTTCTTAGCCCAGGATCCAGAAAATGCTTAAGAAATAAGTCAAATGAAGGCAGAGGGAAGAGACACAGGACAAAAATTCACCAAACACAGACAGTTCCCTCACCTTCTAATAAAGCAATCACTATTATAGCTCCCAAAATCCAAAATTCCTCCAATAAACTCCTTCCCCATGGTGCATATTTTCTACTAAAAAGTGAAGTAAAGCTTAGTATGGTGAGTCAGAACTGAAGAGTTAGAATCATATTTAATTTCTAAGAAGCAATTTCGTAAATGAAAAATCACAACTGAGAAAAGTAACAACTTACCTCAGGATAAAGATTGAACCTTTTTAATGTATTAATAACAAGGGGGTATTCAGTAAGCTTGTCATTCATTATCATCCACACTCCACTGAAAAATGAGGGTGCTTCCACTATAGTCTTGAAGTAAGAATAATACAGCCCCTGAAAGAAGGATATGCTCCAGTTACAATCAAAGGGACAGTTATTCATCTTCTTAGATTACAAATATTTAAAATACACTGGTTTAGAAAAACTGAGCACTCAAGCAGGTAATAGCTACAATAATTTCACAGGCTTCTGGTTACTAAGAAATTCTTAGGTTCCAAAAAAGTTGCATTTTAGAAGAATTTCATCTTAATTGAAATAATTATGTGGAAAAATTGCTTCAGAAATAGCTTCCGAATTTAAATATGTATACATGTAATTTAGCATATGCCATGTATGAAAAGTCTATTGAATACATAAAATGGCATCAATCTTACTCCTCCACATTTACATTCAAAAATCCATGTGTTATTTAAAAAGACTGCACATTATGCACATTCCTATAAACAATAATTTTACAAACCATGTCCCCACCCACAGCAACTCAACAGATGAGCTGACACTGGGGAAGGGGTGGGGTGGGGTGTATTTTGAGGGTAATAGGGACATTTTGTCTGGCATGCTATTTTGAAAAGGGTTGCAATAAGAGTGAAAAAACACATGAGACAAAAAATAAGAGGCGGGGCTGAATATATAGCTCACTGGCTGGGTGCCTGCCCAGCATGCAGGAGGCTTGAAGCCCACCACTCTGGATACAACCACCGCTGGGAGTCCAGCGCTTGAGAAGAGAAGGCGGGAGGAACATCCTCATCTACAAAGTGTGAGGCAGCCAAGAATACATGAGACATCCCTCAATATAAACAAATAAAATTAAAATAAAACCCCCATGACAGTCCATGAAGTTTAGGCAAGAGTCTGAGAGGCAAGTGTAGGGGACACAGACAGGCAGAGTGCAAATGCCACCTTCTTAACAGCTTGACCAGAGCAGGAACAGCTGCCAGGCTCTGAACACAGGGAGGTGATTCCCCACTGCCCACAGCGCCTTGCATTAGTTCACACACACACACACACACACACACTTCTTCCTAAACTTCCATTTAAACTAACTTAGTATGTTAACAAGGTCTCTGTAGAGACCCGCACTGGGGACTACGATCTCCTCTGGAAATAGGACCTATAATGACATAATCAAGTTGAAGCAAAGACAAAGCAGACCAAGGTGACTCTATATACTGAACACAGCCTTAAGGCACGGAAGACAGACAAGGATGAAAGAGGCTGAAGAGGGAAGCAACAACAAGTCATGCAACCCCAGGCAGCCCAGGAAGAAGCCTGCCTGGTGCAGCTCCTTCCTCTCGTGCAGGAAGCTCAGAAAACAGATGCTCACTGCTTCTATCCCCTCCGGATGGACACTGTTGCAGCAGTGCCCGGAACCACTGCATCTACCCTGGCCTGGGAGCTTCACTTTAAGAACATACAACATTTCATATAATTACAAACAGACAACTTCAATATTTAAGGAACAAAAGTAAAGAAAAGGCATTAACTATTTAGCAAATTGAAAGAGAATACCAAATAATTCTCCTGGTCATTCTGTCTGCTAGAAAACACTGCGTTTCTGTTAATAATTACATTTCTAGTCATGAGTTTGACATTGTATCCTATTAAATAAGTAATTTGAAATTAACATTCTCATATTAAAACAAATTTAATATCAAGTAAAACAGATCAAATCCTAAATTTTAATTTGAAAATCTTAATATAAATTGATGACTCACTGTTTTGTAAATAAACAGGAAACAAACAAATAAATAAATAAATGTTTGCTAATTCTACTCACCAAAAAGGTCAAGCAGTGGCCCATGTAGTAGAAATGAGCACTAGCAGCACAGGGGTCCTGGTGTCGACACAATGTCTGGATTCTACCTGGAAAACTGGCTGTTACCAGGCCTGGATAGGAACTATGGTACAGCACCCCAAAATAAGGAATCCCTGGACACCAAGGAAACACTACTGAGGTCACTGAGGGCCAGCACGGCCAACTGCAAGAGGATGGCCAGCTCCCGACACCAAAGTTTACAAAATACATTCTAATCAGTTTACTGATTCTAACTAGAAGATGTGACAATCAAATTATTTTTATGGAAAAAAAAAGCATGGTAAATAAAAGAATTGATCATTTTCCTGTCTTTCCCCTACGAAGTAAACCTCACAAAGAAACTAAAGCCACGCTGTAGGAAAAGTCTTTACAGAGTTACAAGTCAACCGTGCAAGAAAATGTCAGTTTGTCTATTCTAATAAAAAGAGCGGGGCTGGAGAGATGGTTCAGCGGTTAAGAGCATTGCCTGCTCTTCCAAAGGTCCTGAGTTCAATTCCCAGCAACCACATGGTGGCTCACAACCATCTGTAATGAGGTCTGGTGCCCTCTTCTGGCCTTCAGGCATACACGCAGAAAGAATATTGTATACACAAGGAATAAATAAATAAATATTTTAAAAAAAAAGAGTGAACTACGGAGATGGCTGGGCTCTAGGAAGGACTCGGCAAGGACACTAAAACGTGTCAACCACCAACTGAACGTAATCCTCACAAAAAGGGAGCCACATCTTCCATTAGTTTTCAGAAAACACAGGAGACAGGAACACGGTGAGAACATGAGTCACAGTGGTCAATTCTACTGAACATACACATGTTTACTACATGTGTGTGTGTATGTGTGCATCTGTGTATGTGTGTGTGTTTGTGCATGTGTGCGTGTGTGTATATTCTGGTTCTTCAATAGATAAATGGCAAAAAAACAAAACAGAAAGAGGGATTTATAGATTATCAGATTCAGCAATACAGCAGTAAACACAAGTGCAGACAGTAAGGCCATCATCAGCTGCGGAGTGCCCATCGGCTCACTCACAGACCAGTTTACATTTGATGGTGCTAAGAAACCACTAACAGTGAAGAGTCCTGTGAGGAACCTGAATGTACTCGCACAAGAGCTAAGTGTAGCTTCCTTCAAACAGAGATGGGTAAGGAGGGATGGACGACTGTGTGGTCTGTCGTTGATGCTACACGATACAATGAGTAAGGAGAACCGTCTACTTCTTTTACTTGGGCATGGCTTTCTGAAACTTTTCACCCTAAAACGTTTGAAAATTAAATATTACAATGAAATAATATACACACAAAAAACTAACCATTTCAGTGCGGAAAGCCATCTCCCTTTCCAGTGTTGAGAGGTGAGAAAAATGCCGATCATTTTCAAAGAGGTGAGTTATGTGGCTCCTGGAAACATTAAAACAACAAAGCCAACAGTGTAAAGCTGTAAGATTACTCCAAAAGCAAAGAGGGAAGTCCTATAGATTGTAGACAGTTTGCAATAAAACTGAAAAACAATTGTATTTGTATTTGTTTTCTACCAGGTTTTAACAAGTCTACTAAAATTTCTCTCCATAAGAAAACACATTCCAATTAGATTTTAACATTAAAATGAACTATAACAATATTTTAAGTGACATACTATAAAAATATAGATCACACTGAATGTGCCATCGGGTACCATTCAGAAACTGCCTAGATCCCAAAATTCATACATCGTTCCATCCAGAAGATTAAAAACATCAATCTAACGCTGAACATACACCCAATATTAATGTTAAGTAAATTGGAGTATCAAATATAGCCTCTTTAATAATGGATATTTTTATTTAAAAAGTTTATTATTCTGATCCCGATTTATCAATTAAACTAGTCTTTCAGAGTACTGTGGTATATAAGATACATTCATCCTTATGATACAGAAATGATTCTTTTAAATACATGGGATGTAGCTTTGTTAAGTTATAAACATCTACATAATACACACCACTAAAGAAAAAATGATCTTACCAGTGCAACAGGGCTGCAAAGGAAGCTGAAAGAAGAAAGAAAGGTACATTAGTTACTATTTTAGCACAAACACCTCCTCCTTACAGATCAGCACTTCAGATGAGATCAAGCACAATCAGAGCGGGGGGTGGGGTGGGGTGGGGGGCTGTAGGAAGGCTGACCCAGGCTGAGAGTCAGGAGCGATTACTGAGGCTTCACAAGAAGCACTACAGCCTACACACCACCACCACCGGACTGGCTGAGGCTGTGACCCCAGTTTCCATTCATCTACTCACTCAGCAAGATATGTGAGGCCCTATTATTGAAAGATACTGTACAGGACCAAAAGATGGAAACAGCTACCAAAAGACCCAGGGAAACAGGATCAGTAGGTAAGGGTGCCTTAGAAAAAAAGAACACATGACTGGTGGGCCAGGATAACAAGAAAATAAATACACAAAGTATCACCACCTTTTAACTCCCCTAGTGACTGAATTTTCACAGGAAGGCCCACTCTGGTTTGTGTGTGTATGGGGGCTCCACTTTGATCTGTGTGTGTGTGTGTGTGTGTGTGTGTGTGTGTGTGTGTGTATTGGGGGTTATCTATTAGGTTATTTCTTTCCACTTAAACAAGTAGACCTTTTTTGTGTTCTCTCAGTAACTGAATTTTTCTTTAAAAGAAAAAAAAATCTGCAACTAAAAAAGAAATTCAAAGGTCAAGGAAAGGCGATTGTGGAGGACCCCGCTGCCTACCATGCTGGGTTTGAAAGCCCTCCAGTTTGGCGGGAAGTGTCCACACTGCCCACACCAAAGCTCAATCAGACACTGGGATATTACACTAACTCCTGATTCGCCAGATTCTATGCTACACTGTATCTTCATTCTCAGGGACTGGAGGTGAAACATTACAAAGCCAAGTCTCTCCTTGCTGCTAGACTCCCGAACCAAGACAGAGCCCAACTCCCCTGCAGACTGGAGTTAGAACAAAGTTCCTGAATTTACTCTAAGACTTGTTAGCAGCAGTACAGCTGGGGAGCAAGTGATTCGAAATGACTGTGCAGAACTAAGTGTGACAGGAGGGTCTGAACTAAACCCAAGTCTTGTCCTCGTAGCACAGGAGCTGAATTGAGCCTTTTGTTAGACACACACCCATATGCAACCTTTTCTCCACTCACTCCCTGGAAGTTAGCTAAGAGCCCAGCTTCAGGATTTTCTCCACATCTGTGAGCAAGGCAGCCAGGATCCTCCTGCCCTGAGTTTGCCTCAGTTTGCTGGCCCAGCCACAGGTGTGGGAAGCAAGCAGTGGGACATTTTATCCTACTGGAGCTCTCGGCAACCAAGTGTCTCCTGCCCAAGCAACTTGCCGGATGATGGATCCACATTCCAACCACAGCTCAAGAGTCCAAGGACCGATGGGACGGAGCTCGGGCAGCATGTGCTAGGTATGAGCGACCTCTTATCAAGCCGCTGCACAGTGCTGTCCCACAGATCCTACACTACACTACAGTTGGTTATATTGTTGATGGAAAGACCCAAGCACTAAAGACATACTGAGTCATACACAGGGCATGGATAGACCAAGCTGGTACTGCCCTGGAAGCTTCCTCCTCCCGGCAACTTCAGTGGTGCTGGAAGGTGCTATGCATACTACATACTCAGCAGTCTGACCCAGCTGTGACCCTGTAAGCAAGCTACAATCATTACTGCCCTGGCTAGACACACAACTAATGAAAGAGTGGCACAAATGTTAGGGGAGTAATCAATCACTTTCTGATTAGATTTAAAGCCTGATACACAAGACAAACAACTGGGCCAACAACCTGTGGTAAGCCAGGCCATAGGCCCTAGGGGGAAACATATTACTATCATTCTGCTAACTGAGCAGAGTAATAAAATGCCTCTTAAGTTATCTCTATACCCATAGATTAGTACATCTCCCAACCCTCATCAAGTAAGCTCCGTTTTACAGCAGATAATGATTGATGCCTAAACCCACAATGGTCAACATGCAGAGAAGAGGCTAGGTATGGTTCAGTCAGCTCTAAACAGAGTGTCTCTAATACATCCCCTTCCTCCAAATGTTAGGAATCATTGCCAAAGAGACATTGGACAGCCAGAGGCAGCAGATGTCTGCAGCAATGCAGTATTCCCGGCATGGCAAGGCTGCTGCCCACAGGATTCAAAGGCTGTAACTGCACACACAAGATAGTAACAAGATCCAGCCAACCAAAATCCCAGCATGGCTGCGGAAGGAGTTCATGGAGTCGCACTCCTAACTGTGGAGCTACCAGCAACTGTTACCTGCTGTGGGAAAGAGACTATCTTCTTCGGGGCCATGGCTGCCCATCCTCCAGAGACCATCCTGCACTAATGCACACCCACACAGGCAGTGCAAAACGGAGAAAGCAGTTTTTAAACAAAGCACATGAAGATGAAAAGAAAAGTTGGATGGCGGGGGGACAGAGAAAAATGGAAAGAGGGAAAATGAGAGGTGGATTTGATCAAAACATAGTATATTCATGCATGAAATTCTCAAACAAGAAAAAGTCAAAAAATTATCATGTATCATCAATAGTGAATTACCTAAATCAAAATATGTAAGAAATAAAGGGCATGTATAATTTAAAAAAAAAAAAAGAGTCTAGGGAGGGTTCTTCCTTTAGGTCCTAATGGTCCCCCAGAGACAAGGTATGTGTCAAGGCAGTTAGGGAAGGGAATCAACTGGCCCTGCCCAGGTCAGGTCCAGTGGTCAGGAGTAGAAAGGAAGCAATCCACTGGGGAGCTCCTGTATTCCAGGTTACATAAGGACTGCCTGTTTCAAAGGCCAAAAGCCAAAGTTACTGGTCTCCTCTCCATACTTTTGATCTCCACAACAACCCTGCATTTATCCTCACTCCACAGATTAAAAGCTGGGCCCTGAAGGTCTTCCCCAGAGGCATCTGGATCTCCTTCCACACAGAAGAGTCCCCTCCTTCCCATTAGTGAGCATTTGGTGAGCATATCTTGCAACAATATACACATGAAGAAATGTGTCCTAAATCCAAATTTCAACATAGTTCAGTTCAGTTTTATGAAAACATGCTCACACATTCTGGTCTCATTAACCCTCAACTGGCAAGCTGGCATTACAAGGTCAAAGGTGTTTCCTACATCCATCTAGACAAGGTTTCTGAGTCAACCTTGACAAGTTACTTATTCACCATTTCTAATACCAGCTACTTCTTACTGTTTAAGGGTCCACTCCCAAGCCTTCGCTTCTCTAGAGGCTAAAGTCATTTGTAAAGAGTCTCCATATGCTACACCATTAAGCATCCTGGGGAATGAAGCGGTTTCTGCATGAGCAGATCTAAGTACCTCTCCTGCTCCTTCAAATTCCATGACCTCCATACATGGCTCCCATGATGGGCCCATACTTTAGCAAGCTTTCTTTTGGGCCACCAACCGCTCCCAAGTCATGACATAGAGTCTTGGTATTTGTTACAAATACTCAGCCTTATCTTATGTTCTTTTCTTGCTAACTGTTTTAACTTATACTAACCTGTTTCTCCCCATCTATATTTTGCCTCAGAGCTTTTTACCTTTCTTTCATTCTGTATGCCTTACTCCGTATCTTACTGACTGGTGACTGGCTGACTGGCTGGCCCCAGGCATCTCCCTCTCATTCTTCCTCTCGTTCCTCTCCCATCCCTCTCGTTGTTCTCTTCTCTACCTATTTATTCTCTTTGCCTGCCAGCCCCACCTATCACTCTATTGCCTGCCTGGTGCCATTCAGCTTTTTTTTTTATTATTATTTTTGGTTTTCAAGACAGGGTTTCTCTGTGGCTTTGGAACCTATCCTGGAACTAGCTCTTATAGACCACGCTGGCCTTGACCAATCAGATGCCTTAGGCAGGCAAGGTGAAACATCAACATATCTTTACAGTTAAACAAAAGCAGCATAAACAAATATAATATATCTTTACATGGTTAAACAAATATAGCATAAACAAATTAACACATCTTGGCCTAGTAAGAGTAATATTCCAAAACATAAACAAATGTAATATACTTTACATAGTTAAAGTAATATTCTATAACACATACCCTTGACTATTCCCAGTCAATTCCCACCACACACCCTTCACTCTGATTGTACTGAGCAACCACCTCCTAAAATACCAAGATCTATCCTTCAAAGTCAAACCTCTCCCTCTTCCTCTTTGTGTGTGTGTGTGTGTGTGTGTGTGTGTGTGTGTGTGTGTGATGTTGTATCTTGAAAACAAAACCCAGTTTCCGGGTCCTAAGCTAACAAAACATTTCTACTCCTTAGGACCCAAATGAAGGCAAGCAGGACTTTTGGGCTATGAATGATTCCGAGACAACAGACCAAGAGCAGCACTCCAAAAACAATCAGCAAGTAGCTGGTCTTCTGGGGTAAATTTTACAAGGGCTAAGACTTAAGTCTCCAGATCAAGTGAACCAAGCACTCAAGCAGACCTAATGAAGACTACGAATGATAGAAATCTAAGAAGGCGCATCAGTGACCTTCTTAAACACAGTTTATGAAAGGAGGACCCTAGAAAGTGGGGTCAAGGCATGCACATAGCTTGTTGCATGAATGAGAAATGAGGGCATGAGTGCCCCAAGGTACTGCTGAGGAGGAAGCTTTGTTGTATACATGAGAAAACAGCCAGAGGCATCCAGAAGAGTCCACACTGAACCAGGCCAATTGAAAAGGCTGGGCGGATGAGGGAAAGAGGACAAGAAAACCAAGAGACCAAGTGAGGAACCAGGCACCAAGAGGACAAGTAGCCAAAATGGCCTAGGTTAGATAGGAATCAAAGAAACTGGGTGACACTCAAGGGCTGGAGAGGTTTGGGGTGGGAGACAGGGAATGCTAGCCAGGATGACTCTGTGATGCGGAGGGCTGAGGGCCAGAATTGACTTGATGTGTCAATAGGTACCTCAGTTAGCCATTTGTCCTGGGTTTGAGACCTAACAGTGTGGACTTACAGCAGCCAGCCAGAAGACAGATACAATAAAGTCAGATGTGACTTGGATCCAACA